GACATAACAGGCATCCCTTTAATTAGTTTAAGAGACAGCTTAATGCACTTGTAGACCTTTAACTATACATAGCAAATTTTTAGAGAAGGGTATCTTAAAATTCAAAAATAAAGAACAGAAGAGACACCAGCTGAACAGTCATGTAGATATTCATCTGTTTTAACCTTAAAATATGTTTCGTCTTACTTCTAGAATTTTTATTTTTGCACCCGGAAAAGATTCCTAAATATATTGACAAGTGCATTTGTTATTTTCACCATTCTTGTAATTTCTAGTCATTAAACAATAACATTGTACTTGTTTGTATCAAAGTATTGGCATTAATTGTAAAAATCTAAAATTCTCAAAAATAATTGAACAGTCCGCCTTTGTAAAATTATTATTTTCAAACCAGTTTTAAATCTAGTTATTATAAATAACCATTGACCATGTCAATTTTAAACTCTGTGCTAGGAAATATTTAATCTAAAAACTGATTCATACTTTCAGAAAAATGATTTTTTAGTCTAAAATGTCTTCCATAAACGTGCCATACAGGAAATTAAAAATCTCTTAATGAAAAAAATATCGGGCTTTGAGAATTTTTGTAAAATTTTCCTAAACAATGGTTTTGCCTTTGATGATGTCTCATAATTCTGATCCAGAAACTCAATTAAATTTAAAGAAAAATATTTTTCAAGATTTTAATTAATCCAGTAAACTTATTGCTCAATTTCTCCTGCTCAGTCTTCATAACTTTCCATCCTGCCAGCCTCTAGATACAGATATAGGTAAATATTCTAGAAAACATACTTACGAATTACTAAAATATAAAAAAAAAATTTAATCATCTTAAATTGCCAGAAAAAAAATAATGCTAGTTTTAACAATTTTAATTTTGATAATGATACTAATGATACTGAATGCTTAAAATACTAATGGTAATAATAATAATAATATTAATAATACTATAAACATGAAAGTGCTGTTGTATGCATGGTGATGGTGACATCGAAAGAATTTTTATAATGTCTTCTTGACAGTTTTCGATTGTACTTTTATACCTAAATCTCAGTAATTGAAAAATAAATGCTTCATACATAAAGCTTAGTAATTGTAAAAGTAAATATATAGACATGAAATATGCGGGAACAGTTTAAAAGAGCTCCATATAATAATTCAAGTAAAAAAACTTAATATCTGCAGCATTCTATTATCAGTAGGTTAAGAAAACGGCATTTTATTTATTCTTTCGATGTCTCAAAAGTTCTGTGTTAAAATGTAAAATATCTGGTACTGAAATGCTGCATGATAAAGAGTGGTCGATGTAAATATTAATAAAATATTCAGGTTCTGAAATCATATTATATCACCATTCAGGAACTGCGATATATAATTTAAATAGATTTTGGTTTTGATAATGATTATAATAACACAATACTTTTCTGATAATTACTAATAATAATACCAATAATAATACTAAAAATACTAATACTTCTTTAACGATAGGTATCAGATTCACAAGGGAACCTGAGTCTAGAGTTGTTCCTCCAGGGGACAGGGTTTTCTTCAACTGTAGAACCAATACAGGTCAAGGTAGGACGTTTGTTTTACAATGTACACTAAGAGAAAATGTTCACAAATTAAACAGAATATGAGCGCAAAACGCCCTAAAAGCTTAGAAATGATAATGAAGATAAAAATAATAACCTTTTGGGCATTGTCCTAGCTTAATTTGTTTCTTAGACATTAAAGGTTAATTTAGAGAAAGGAAATTAAAAAAAATTCTGAAGTTATTTGGAATGTGGAGAAAGGCACATGCCACCATTTTGGATATGCCAGGGACAGGGATATTTTATTATTATTACAAGAATCAATTGCATTCTCTGTAAAAAACCGCAACCTAATATTATAGGAAAAAGTAAATTATATTTCTGAAAACCAAGTTAGAAAGAAATGAGAATTGTAATCTTTTTTAAGATGAAGAAATCTATTGGTTGCACAACGGTCATCAGCTGGATCCTTCCAAGCGGTCAGATGTGAGGATATCCAACGGTCAACTCTCTATTAAAATACGTACGGCCAAGAGACACAGGTAGCAGCTTATTCAGAAATTAAATTCACGTGATTAGTAACAAAACCCCATTTACCTTAATTTAATAAATATGGCAACGAACTTGTTATTTCACTCTTAATCAGATATTTTCCTGTGTTCCAGTATATTAAAGAGATTTTTGCCGTAATTTCGAGTATATTAAAAAAATGCTTGTATATCTCAAAATAATACCCTTTAAATAGGTACATAAATTTTTAAAAGATACTATTCTAAATCGGGCATTCAACTATGACAATTTCATCGATAGTCACATATAAAGTAGGGGCCACAGTTTTTCCATTCGGAGTTAGACAGATTTCTTAGTCTGAATCCTTGAATGCTTCGGCAAAAAAAACCAGGCGGAAATAATTAGATTTTATTTTTAAATGAATAAATTTCTATGTTTGATACTGAGATAAATGTTTAAAGGCTGGGTATAGAGATTCTGTAGGAAATAGTTAGTTGAGAAATAGAAATAATTGTCCATTAGGGAAAACAAGGATGCAATGTTTACCTCTGAAGATTTATCAAGAAGTGTAATTAGAATAATTAAAGGTTTAACGAGTTTAACAAATTCACGGAATGATTTATTTCTCCGTCTTTGTAATTGGAGCACTTAGCTGGAAGCTGTTAAAGGGACTGTACGCGTAATGTTAAGTGACCCTCTTTGCAAATATAGCAATGCCCGAATTACAAGAGTACCATTGATACCTGAATCTGATAAAACATTTGGCAAATATGTCGTTTTTCCAGACTCGAAAACTGTTTAATTTCTCCAATATTTCTTTTAGCAAAAAATGCGCAAGTTGCATTTCCAGGGAAACCACAAAATGAATAAACAATTCAAAGAAACAAAACATGGATATCTAATTCGTTTAATAAATATCGTGCATCATGATATCTGTAAACTTTAACTACGTTGTACATTATAACTATCTATGTTTGTAAACTTCCATGTCAAACCCATTATTTTTTGACCTTCGCTTCAAATGAATACGTAGCATGATTAGTTTAATCATGTAATATCTAATGACGTACATCTTAATTGCTTCTAGTTTAACTTTGCTGTAAATACGTTACATGATTATCTACATCATGGGATATAGATAAAAATGTAGGAATTGTTAATACGTGTAT